GAGGTTTTTCCTTCGGCTGGAAGGCCGCGTTGTCACATCCTTACCCAGCTATTTTAGATGGCTTTGTGTTTTCTTCCTGCGCCTCAAGTTAAAAGCAGAAAGCTCAGAGGCTTTGGGTGGTGGAAAACGCCCACCATCCGAAAACCAGACCCGTGCCTGTGAAAAATCCACTTGTTCTCCTTTAAAATGTGAAGTATGTCTGGTTTTTTTTCCTTTCCTGTGGTTAATGAGTGTCCTGCAAAGCTCTGGCAGTTGTAGGTGAGTGTCTTGCAGTGGTTTTGTGTGCCAAGCAACCGAGGTGCCAGGAAAGGCTCGAGGTGACGGCTTAAACCCCGAATCTTCTCACCCCTCACCCTGGTCTCGGACCTCCACGTGGTTTCTGGTCAGGAAACCCAGAGCTCCTGCACGTTGGAGTAACGGCCAAAACGACCCCAGCCCTCGGAGGGGATTTTATTGTGAGATGAAGAGCATCGCTCAGCGTGCGATAAACCCCGGGGTCAGATTTCTCTGTGTTTAGTGTCTGCCTTTATCAGTCGTCGGCATCGAGAGGAGCGGTGGGAAAGTCCCAGCCTTGGTTATTAGTGGATTTATTTTATTTTATTTTTTTTATTTTATGGAGAGCGCCAAGCAGGGAGGGTTATTTTGATCCTGCTCTGGCAGGGGGGTTGGACTGGATGATCTTTTGAGGTCCCTTCCAACTCCTGAGATTCTGTGATTTTGTGTCCTGAGGAATGGCGAAATCCATGTTTTAAGGTCTCTGCCCTGGCTTTCAACGACCCAGAACAAGGAAGGGAAACCTACAGCCAGGGATCTCCGAGGCATGAAATAAGAATATAAAATAATCTCAGCATGAGTTAAGGACTTATTCTTGTTGCAGTCTCCGATTGCGCTGACTTCCGTAGCTTTGATGAGCTGAGTCTTAGCAGCTTTTTTATCCTGGCTGTGTAAAACCGGTGGAAGTGAGGGTTACCATAGCAGGTACCCACCTCGTAAATCAGTCCTGCCCAAAAACTTGGCATGGGTGCTGGAAGTGGGTCCCAATGGGTGACAGAGGGTGACTGAGCCTGGTGTTGCTGCTCGCTCCCGTTTTGGCTACAGCTCAAGGTCCTGGAGCTGCCTCCCAGGATCATACCAGGGAATAAACCATTAAATAATGTCAGAAAATAAGTTTCCCCTGCCCTGTAACTCCCAGGAAGCCTCACAGCCGGGTTGTTTGGGTGTCTCCTGGTTTTGCTGGGGTTGTATTGTGTCATTCCCTTCCCTGTTCAGCGGAGCTGCACTTTGCAGCGTTCGATTTAGTGAAAACAAGTTGGTGTTAGAGTTTGAGCTGCAATGGAGTTGTTATTACGATTATTTTCCTTATTGTAGCTTATTTTCCTCACTGTAGCTGATGAGGTGTTTGTTGTGCTTCATGCTATCAGTGTTTACACTAACTCAGGGTCTGGTTTTCAGCCTTTGCCTGAACCTGTGTTCATCATTTCTTTTGGTTTATTTTTTCCCCTTCTCTCTGCACAAGAGGATGCGAGGGGGGATGAAAGCCCAGGATTTCCTGGGACAGATGACCCAGCAGTAATTAATCCTTATCGAAGAAGCCAAGTTTGTGTTTTCTTCGCCCTTTCTTAGTCTTGCGGTGCTAAAATTAATGAGGAATCGGGCTCACAGTCCCCTTACTCAAAAAACTTTATCTAAAGAAAGCGGGGTTTTGTTTCAAAGGCATTTTGGGGTGTTTCTGTTGAAATGGAGGTTGGTTCCTTGGGCTTTTCATCACTCGGATGCTTCGCCAGCGAGTTCTGGTGGCCTGTGTCCACTGTGTCTTTTGGAGAGACCCTGAGCGTTTGGTTTCTCTGCTCCATCTTCCTGGTGTGAATTTTAAGAAGGTTTTTTACTGTGGCAAAATGCTTCCAAATCGGATTTCTCATCAAACTTGAAAGGGCAGTGTGATCATTGCATGTGCAAAGGAAAACCGTACACCGAGTGACTCAAGACGAAGCGCTGAGTTTGTCATGAGTTTTACAAGGTTTATTTATTTATTGTGTGATAAATTGTGTTCTTAGAAAGATCTCTGGGAGGTTGTTAGTGATTTGTTTCCAATATGAAGTGTGGAGATGATGCTGGAGAGGTCCAAGTGGGTTGGAAAGCAGAGGGAACTGAGTCCTCTGCTGCTGGGCCACCGATGTCGCAGGACCAGGAGGGCATCGCATTGAAGCAAAGCATTTTTTGTGCTGAAGATCCTATTAATTAATTATTAAAACTCGTTTTCTCTACCATGTAATTCTGTGGTTGAGCAAGGGAGCAGCACAAAGGGGATTTGCTGGTCAGTCTCAGAGATTACTGCTAAATTTCTGCTAAATTGATGTCCCAGCAAACCCCGCTTTCACGTTTATCCAACCGGTTTACTATGCAAAACTGGCTTTGTGAAGTTATTTGCAAGGTTACTTCAATGGGATGGCAAAATCTTCCTTGGGGCAGGTGTTCCCATCATCATTGCTGTTTGTTTTAATAATGCATGTGTCGCGTGAGCTTTTTTTTGCAAGTAAATAAATGACTTTGGGTTTCAGAGCTGCAAAGAGGATTAAAACATCTGCTCTGTGCTTGCCTTCGCAGGAAAAGATGTGAGAGGAGAGAGGCATCTTGGAGCCCCAGCCGTTATCCTGAGCCTGCTTGGATGCAAAGACGAAGCCTTGAAGACCTCTCCCACCTCCCAGTCTGATGGTGGGACCCTGGGAGGACTTTCCCATTCCAGACACTGGTTTCCTCAGCCTCTTTTGCTGGAGAAAAGGTAATTGGGGCTAGAGAAAGGTACTTTGCCTGGGCAGAATTATTTTGGGGGCAAATAAAGGCTGGTGGTGGCCATCTGTGGGGTAAGAGCTGTGGGAAATGGGGGCTCCTGAGCTGCTTGCTCCTTTGCAGAAGGAAAGAGAGGGTACAAGCATTTGGGAGTCCCATTTTCTCCGAATAAAAGTAAGGAATTGGTGGCAAGTGTTACTCTGGAGAGGACGGAAAGGTCTCTTCTCCTTAAAAACCTAGAGGTTTTGAAGGGAGCCCATTTGTTAGAGCAGAAGGGATGGGAGGTGTGGACACCGCATCCCGCTTCAAGTCGCTTCTTTGTGGCACAAGAGGTGAAAATGATGGCAGGGTTTGTGTTGAAAGGAGGATGGTGTTGAGCAGAGTGGGTTTATTTTTGGGGAGAGGAAGAGATTGGAGCATGGAGATTGATGCTATGAATCCTGGAGAGCAAGAGCAGCAGGACGAGGATGCGATGTGTTGGCTGCTCTTCATCCCCGCGTTGCTTTGGTCGCTGGGCCTGGTACCATTAGGTAACAAAAAGCACTCCCAAGCTCAAATATATGTTAGAGATGCAGGATAAGAGGGGATTTTTTGAAGCTTTTTGGGTTGGAAAAGCTGAAGCCAAGTGTTCCTACTACTCTAATTTGTTCAGTAGGAGAGCTTGGACACTCAAATTTGCACGTGAAGGCCTCAGCCCAGCTACAGGCCTCAGCTTAAGGCCTAGCGTGGGGCTGGCTTTAGCCAGGGTTCCCACTCGACCCTCTTAAACCCCAATGTCTTAAGCACTGCTTAAATAAATTTATCCTTAAACGTGGGTTGCTTGGCAGATGACCCAGTAGAGGTCTTCTCGTGGATCTGGATGTGAACTGGTACAACTGGACCGCATCCCGTGTTGGATGCTGGGGGTAAAAGGGTGATTCCCGGTCCGGGTTCCTGCAGGACTTAGGCTGTGAGTCAGCGTATGAAAAATGCACCACTTTGTAGCACTGATATTCCCAATCTACTGCAAATTCCAGTTATTTTTTCCCCTCGTTTAAGCACGCTTATTTTCTTTGGCGTTAGTTGTGTAACTGCTGAATTTGGCCCCTTATCTGCGAGGGGACTTTCTTGCCTGCGGCAGTGTTTTACCTCCTTAATACAGCTGTAATGTTCTGTAGCTTTTTATTAAATATAGACCACTTAATTTTGTGCCTGAAATAACCCATTTGACAGTTCAAAGGAGTGTTTCTGTAGGGGAAACAGCTCTCAAGATGATTTAATATTAATAAAACAGGAGAGGAAAAAAGGATCATGCCAGTGGCTGGGATGATTGCGTGTAAAACCCTTATGGTATCCCAGACCCACATAATAACTTCAAATATCTGGTGAGAATGCAAAATATTGCAACCTCACTACCGGAAAGAAAGTCAAAGCAGCTGTGTTACATCTCTCCCGTCCAAATTAAATCTGCAGGCTGCTGGTTGAGTACAGGCTTGGCACTGCTGTCTGGCTCTGGCAGCTGCCTGTGCGTGTTCCTAAAATCCCAGGGAGTCACTGGATGAGTGGGAGGGTGGGATGAGGGCAGGGGACTCTCAGAGGATGGGTATGGCTTTAAATTTGCTGTATTTTGGTCCTGGTTTTAATTAGAATTGGTTTTGCTTGCAGGTCCTCTGTGGCAGGTAACACCGCGCCCGGGAGATCGAGCAACCACGGTGCAGCATCCTCACAGTAAAAGAGGCTTTTGCGGAAAGGCTTTTCTCCGTATCCTCGTGGAAGTTTAATCCTTATCTCCCCGTACCATCTCTGTCCTTGCGTCCCTCCCTGGGGCTAATTATTCCTATGTAAACAGAAGAAGCTCAAGTCTCCTGCTGCGCTTTGGCACGTTCGAGGTGCTTGGCTCCCTGGTCCCCAGGGGTGACTCAGTTTTGCCTGGCGAGCGGCTCCCCAACTGATACCGAGCTGTCGGACCAAACACAGGGGGTAAATCTGAGATACAGAAAGACACAGCCCGGGAGCAAAGTCAAAGCAGAGCCCGTGTCCATCTGAGCCACGGGCTTTTTTCCACCGCCCCCCGTAAAATACCACTTCACACTGTGTATGTCTCAGCTGGCTTTAATCACAGGAGAAATAGCTAGATATACAAACTGTGAATCTGTCATCTAAAAATTCTGATCTTCATTTTTGCTGCTGTTTATATTTCCCGGTGCAGAAGGTCTGTGCCATCGTGGATGCTGTCAAACACCATCCTTTGATTTCTGCACCGCAGACTCCCTCCAGCTGAACCCGGGGCTGTTGTTCAGGTTGGCTTTTTTTAGCTTCCATTTCTGGGCCGAAGGCTCAAAGAAGAAAGAGATGGGTGAAATGAGAGCACAGGCTCCAGCAAAGAGGAAAGAGCAGACATATGTCTGGGTGTAGTCATACAGCCACCCTGCAGGAGAAAAGATTGTTATTAAAGCTGTTGGATTTTTCTCACCCAAAAAAAAAAAAAAGGGGAAAAAATAAGAAAATCATTTTGGGAGGTGGGCGGGAAGCAAAGGATGTGTGTTCTCTTTTCAGAATTCCTCAGATATTTTCTTTAAAATATCTTAACTCATCGAGCGCCTGCTGCTGCGCAGCTTTTCCACGGACAGCGGGGACTATCACCGGCAACCTTGCAGGTCACTGCAGAGCTACCTTCTCTTCCTTGTGATGAACGTGGATTTTAGTTTAATTGAATTTAATCCCTGATGGGTTTTTTTTTCCTGCTTAAATAAATGGGCCAAGAGAGGCTGCGGCAGCAGATGGGCGATCCCGTTGGACCGATGCGATGACTTGCATGTGTTGGTGTTTGCAACATCTGGGCTGCAAACTCCAGGCTCCCCAGCCCTGCCTTCTTGTGAGCAGACCCAATTTAACACAGTCTGCCCAATCTGAGCGATCCTAGGCTGGGAGCTTGATGTGAACTTGCTTAAAAGTAACTTTGATAGGACTTAAAAGGAAAAAGATTAAATTCCATAAAGACTCAGGAATCTGCGCGGGGGCAGCTCGCCTTTTAAAATGCCCTCCAAGTGTTGTGTTCGGTTATGGCACATCACCTCCTGTCTAAACAGTCATTTTAAAGGTGGAAAACTCCTCTGTTTGAATCAAAAATATGCAAAGCAATGGCAGTTGCTGCTGCACATAATAAAAACCTTAATGTACCCCCAGATCTGGGTTGAGTGTCCCAGGTGGGTGAGCAGCTGAGCCAGATCTGCTGGGGTAAAATGCAGTTCCTCCCTGGATGTGCACGGTTTACACAAGGGCAGATCTGGCCCAGATTTGGGATTCTTAAAACCAACTCTGGTTATAAAGGGAAATAATAAATAACCCTGGTCTGAGCTGCTCAGGAGCAGTGCTGCTGCTGTAGGGAAGAAAACAGCACTGGTAAAATTCAGGGGTCTGCAGCACCCCAGAAGTGCTCACATTTTCCTCGCTGTAGATTTCCACGCCTGCGGGAGGGTTTTATAAATCAGAGGAGAGGCTGCGGCTGCTTTGCTCTGCCCTGGCTTCGGTTTCTGTTGGCTCGTGCCTTTCTCAGGGGGAGTTTTCAGCTCTGTTTTCTCTTTTTCTGAGGGATATCATGTGAGCCGCGGCGCAGGCGAAGACGGAGCTCGCTGTGGGAAAGGAGCATCCCATGGTGCTGGGCTCGGTGACGTGGCTGGCTCTCCCGTGCCCCTTCTGTTTTTGCAGAGTGGTTTATTCTGCAAGGTGGGATCTGGGTTTGTTCTCCAAGGTGGGATCTGGGTTTGCTGCCTGAAAGTCTGGAGGATTTGGGCAGCAGAAGGGATGCTAACGCAGCCATTTGTAAGATGCACAGGACAGAAAGCTCCAGTTGTGGAGCTCTGATTTATTTAAATGTAATTTGTACACGTATTTTAGGATTTGTTTTGGGTTTTTTTTTTTCTATAAGCTCTACTTGACGCTGAAGGACCAGCATTGCCTCCTCACCAGCAGTGCAGCCATCGCCTCCCACCCCGTGACACCTTTTAAACCACCTGCGGTGCCTGTGTCCCGACTCCCCATCCAAAAAACCACAACCCTTCCTGCTGCAGAAAGCTGAATTCAAAGCTGGAGGTGTGCGAACTTCAGCAAAGCAGTGGTTTTGTAAGCAATACCAGTAAATCCCTGGTACCTCGGTGGTCTGAGCTAAACGTGCACGACACCAGCTCACGCTGCGCTGTGTAAATTGTGCTGCCGGTCTGTAATCAGAAATTCTGCTTATTTCTGATGCCTTAAGGAGCATGAATCCCAGGTAGAATTTAAATGACAGCATCTCCATGCCCGTGCTAGCACAGCTTTTAAGTGACTCCATCTTCTTCCCCATCCCCACTCAAATTTGGGGGGGCTGGTGTTTGCGTGCCGGTTGTTGGACTCTGTTTTGCAGCCGTGCGTTGGGTGGTTTGGTTGATTTTTGCAGTCTGAGTTATGGCTTTGTGCTGCTGACGGCAAGAAAATACGTCCTCCTCTCCTCAGCTCGCTTGCGGCTTGCCAAAATAACGTTTGTTCTGTGTTGTGTTTGGTTTTTGGCAGAAGGACCCAGCAGAGGTGGCGAATCTGGAGCTCAGAAGGAGCCTTCAAACTTTTCACCCTGGGCTTTGGGCCGGGTCGGCTGCCCCTGGATTTGATGGCTTTTAATTAAACAGATTTGCAGGTAAGTCACCTTTTCGTTGCGTTGCGATTAGGCTTCGTTCTAGTGTGCCAAATAAGTTTTTTGAACCTGCGTGGTTCTCATTATGCCTTGGGATTTCAAATAGTTGAGTTTTAGAAAGCTGTAATTCTGAAGTCGTGGTTTAGGGAGGTCAGCAGCAGTCAGAGGCACTAAACCCCTGGGTCTCATTTAAATCTCAGTCCTGTCCTGTGTTCTGCAAGGAGCGGATGCTTTTGGGCCCTTAATCGGTAGCTTCTGGCCGTACTCAGTTTTCATGCTCAATATTGGAAGGGAAAATTGCCGAATTTCTCTCGGCTCACAACCCTACATCCTGAACCTTGAATTGTTTCCCTCTTGCTCTGCTCACAGCAGCGAGAGTTTTGCTTCTTGGCTTTATTTGGCCTTTATTTACGCTACCAGTATTAAGAAGACTGATTTCTGTATAAGGCTTTTTTGCAGGAAACCTGCTTGCTTTACAAAACCCAGAAATATTCATGCGGTGAGCAGTTAGCACTTCCAGAAAGCAAAAGGCTTCCCATTAGCAAAAACATATTGGAGGCAGATAAAAGCGTAACCGCTATCTTAGCAGATGTGATGCATGGGTAAGAGAGCGCCAAATTATTTAGCTGTTTTTCATACCGTCCGTTCCTGCATCAGGGAATTTACTGCAGTGGTTGTACAGGGTGGACATAGATCTTGTATCAGGAGAAGAGATCTCACCCGACACGAGCTATGCATCACTGTGACAGAGTAAAGCACGCTGTCAATGAAACGCTTTAGCTGCTTGAAAATTGCAGCCATGTACAGAGTTTTACCAACCTCGAAATATCGATTTGGGAAATCAATTTTGTTGCCGCACTCTCGCCGTGTGGCGGTGTTGCTAAAACTTTGCCCGGAGCCGGTATTTACCAAATCCTTGGCAGCTTCCAGCAAAGTGCCTCCGTGGGCATGGGGCAGCTGATGTAGCAGAGGGTAGGAAGCAATAAATGAAGAAGAAATTGCCAGGTTTTATGCAGGATGCGTTTGCGAGGTGAGTGACAGGACCTCATGCACGCTGATGTTTGACCTTGCAGCTTTTTGGGGTTTCCTTGTATCGCCAGGACTGAGGAAGAGCTCAGATCCTGTTTGCAGCCGTGAGCTGTGGCCACAGGGGCATCGGGGAAGGAAAAGCTTTGTCCTGGCCAAGATGTTTGGAGGAGAACAAGTCCCCTGCTCGCAAACAGAGACTGGAAACACTTGAAATGTGCCAGCTAACTCCAAACTGCCTTGGTTTGCTGGCAGCGGGAGGAGAGGGACGGCCTTTCATCCTCCTTATCTTTGGGCCCAGCAGCTCTCGTGGCTGAGCTGCGTAATCTCCTTCACAACAAGAGATTACCGAGACCTCTCCTCGGGTCTGCTCGGAGGGAACCACTGCTGAGCCCGTCCTCGCTTCACCTCCCTCTCCCTGCCTCCCCTCTGCCCAGCATCGGGGTTATAATGCCCCTTTGGGGGTAAAATCCATGGTAATGTTATAGAGAATAAATGTAATAGAGAATAGCTGGGGTTTAGGCAGCTTTTTGCCAACCTGCTCGTTGGGTTTTGCGAATTCCCCAGCAAAATATTGCCTGTGTATAGCAATAAATTTCTGAATTTCTTTCTTTTCTTTTCTCACTAGGACAGATCACAGAATCACAGAATGGCTTGGTTGGAAAAGCCCTCTGAGCTCATCACGTCCAACCGCTCCTGTCTACCCCCTAAACCATATCCCTAAGTACCTCGTCTACCCGCTCTTTAAACACATCCAGGGATGGTGACTCCACCACCTCCCTTGGGCAGCCTGTTCCAGCTTCTGACGACCCTCTCAGTAAAGAACTTCCTCCTTATCTCTGACCTGAACCTCCCTTGGCACAGCTTGGTGCCGTTTCCCCTTGTTCTATCCCCATCACCTGGGAGAAGAGCCCAGCACCCACCTCTCTCCAAGCTCCCTTGAGGCAGCTGGAGGTGGTGATGAGGTCTCCCCTCAGCCTTCTCTTCTCCAGGCTAAACAAGCCCAGTTCCCTCAGCCGCTCCTCATCAGGCTTGTTCTCCAGAGCCCTCCCCATCCTTGTGGCTCTGCTCTGAACACGCTCCAGAATCTCCACATCCTTCTTCTAGTGAGGGGCCCACAACTGAACACAGCACTCGAGGTGCGAATAAAGCATCCCTGGATGTATACGGGTAGGAGGTCGGACCAGCAGCGTGTTTTACCCCCAGCTCTCTGTGGTAGATATGTATTATGAGTAATGTTAGAGTTACCTGCTAGAGGAGGTCCACCGACGGCCGCTATCCCAGCAAAGAAGGCAGCAAACCCCAAGTAGCTGTGGAGTTTTTGCACGCCCACCAAATCGACCTGTTCGTAAAACCAAAATGGGTCATTATTGAGTGAGTTTGAGTGAAGGTGAAGTGCTGTTTTATTTAAATTATGATTATCTGGGGAGTTTCCTCTTCAGCTGCAGATTTGAAAGGACTTTGCACCTCGAGGTCTGATCCTGCCTGGGATCCGCTCGCCTCCTTAAGGCCAGCGTGGAAATTACTCGGATGTGAAGATGCTTTCCAGCTGCTTGGGCATCTCCCAAATAACTGGTAATGCTGCTGAGACATCAAGGAAGGTGTTTTAAACTCTGAGTTCCTTCCCAGGAAGAAATACCAAATCATAATGATGCCTCCCTGTCCAGGTCCTGCCATATATTTGCACATTATAGATAATTCTGGGATGGGGAGCAGGATGGATCCATTCATTTCTTAGAATTATTTGGTTGGGAAAGCCCTTTAAGATCATTGAGTCCAACCATGAACAATTTCCCAGCAGCTGGAGCAGGCTCCTTCAGAAAGGAGGATGGGAAAGGCAATTAGCAGGGTCGTTAAAAATCAGCAGTAAACTGAATTATTTTATTATCACTGAATTATTTTATTCAGGGTGACAGAGCCCTGGCCCAGGCTGCCCAGAGAGGTTGTGGAGTCTCCTTCTCTGCAGACATTCAAAACCCGCCTGGACGCCTTCCTGTGTAACCTCATCTGGGTGTTCCTGCTCCGGCAGGGGGATTGGACTGGGTGAGCTTTGGAGGTCCCTTCCAATCCCTAATGGTCTGTGTTCTGTGTGATTATCAAAGAAATCAGTCCTTCTGTTGCATCTGTGGGTACCAGCGAGGGGGTTGGAGACATCTGGGGCCCTCCAGTGGCTCAGACTGGGAAGACTGGAGGGGGCTACAGCAACCCAGGGTAACTCAGCTTTATGAAAGGGTTTTTGGGTCATTTTCCAACTGGAAATGGTGCCTATTTTAAACGAGATTTCCTACTCACCAGCACAGGGAGGACCAGAGCCATGAAGCCGCCGCAGAAGACGGCGAAGGCCACGGCGTAGGCCATGAGCAGGGGGAAGGTGGTGGCCAGGGGACACAGCAGGTTGGTGGCTCCGCACAGGACCAGGTAAGCCGCGTAGTAGTGGTACTTCTTGGTCCAGTTCTGGTCTGCGACCCAGCCCGAGAGCAGCTGGCTGAGCATCTCCGTGACCCCTGTGGGGAAGAGGAGTTCAGAGCCTCAAAAAAGACTTTGTTTCCATTGGTTTTTCACTCTTTTGATTCCCCTGCGCTTGCTGTACGATTCGCGACCGCAAAGGGCTGAAATGCCAACGAGTTACGGGAAAGCTTTTTTAGGCTGTTGTAAAATTCATGCTCCTTTTATTTTATCTTTTTCCCCTTACCTTGGTGCCTGCTATTGCCAAGTGCCTGTGGGTGCACCAGAGTGGTCTGTAAAGGTTCAATTAAGGGCTGTGCACTCAGCAGAAAACCCTGCAGCGCCCTTCAGTAAAACCAGGAACGATTCGCTTGCTGTTTGGTCTCGTTTTCAAGACAGAGAGAAAGCAGAGTATTAAGAAATATGCTTATGAGGTTTGAATTTTTAGAAAGGAGCAATGAAGGGCTGAAGCCCAGCGGTTTTTTGGAGGCTCAGCAAACTTTTGATACTTGGTTTTTACGTTTCTCAATACATTTTTATGAACTCAAGATCAGAGGAGCGCTTCACTGTCAGCCAGTCCCTTGCTGACCGCCGTGGCCCTCCTCCTCTTAATTCAGGATGTCAGATTAATCGCTGCCCTCTCCTTCTGGGTGCCTTGACAGCACATTTCTAAATATTATACAGCGTTGTAGACATAACGTTTATTTTTATACAATAAAATATTTTATGATGACTGAGGCCGGAGGCGCTTTCTTAACTCAGTGCGACTTCAGTGTTAATCCCTGCTTATAATCAGGGATATTTTGGTTTTTGGGGGGGCTGTAGGTTGTTTTCTCCCCCTTTTGGAGGTGAACGTGCCAGATCTAAGTTAATGTTGGGGGTTTTTTCCCCCCACTATTGAATTTTTCTCGCCCCGCACACATTCCTGGGTCAAACTGGAGGCTTTTAAACGCCGAGGGACTCTGGATTTTTGTGGGTTTTGGGTTTGAGCAAAGCAGGGGCCGTGGTGGGAGAGCTTGAGGAGGACAGATCGTTCCTGTGTCATGGGGAAACTGGTGTTTGCTGGGCGCAGCAAGGGGGGGTTCCCTCTGGTTTGGGTTGAGGGAACCACTCACCACGCGAGAGCAGCTTTGTACGTGTACAGAAAGTGATGCCTTACAGAAAAGAGGGAGCAAGAGCTGCGAGCAAAACCTCTTCCAGCAAGATTTACTCTAGGATGCATTTGGGACTATTTCACGGCAAGATTTGTGGTGTTTTTTCTTCCCTATTTTGGTCTCCTCGTGATTATAAATCAGGGCTGAAAAAGACTCTGTCACCTACCAGCCACCGAGATGAGGTAAGAGGCGTCCATGCTGCTTATGCCCAGCGTCCGGGCCCTGGCCACCAGGTGGAAGATGGGCACGAAGTAGGCCAAGTGGCTGAACAGAAAGGACCACGTGAAGATGCAGAAGATGGGATCCGTCAGCGGGGAGAAGTCGAGGAGAGGCTGGGAATCTTCTTTTCCCCTCTGTTTAAAGAATTTGTGGCTTCTCTTGGCCTTGGTCATCGTTTCTTGGCAAGGTTTCTCCATCGTTTCTGAACCAGAGACGTCCTTGTTGTGGGACACCGCGAGTCCCTCTGTGGTGGGAAGCTCCTGTGCACTGCGAAGCTGCATTTCCCCGTGAGTGGTTTCATCCAAGCACCCATCGAGGGTTTCTGGATCCTTCTTTGCCATTAAACACCCGTGGTCTGGGTTTTCGGGTGGCTGGGCAGCGGCAGGTCGCAGCAGCATGCTGGAAGGCACGAGGTTCAACATGATGCCTCCGAAAATCAGGAGGGTACCTGAGGGAAGAGGAAAGATGCTTTTTTTGTTGGCTTGGGAAGGGAGGAGCAGCAGGAAATGATCTTTTTAGAACAGTATAGCTTGTATACTGGAGCATGTTCAGAGAAGAGCCACAGGGATGGTGAAGGCTCTGGAGAACAAGCCTGATGAGGAGCGGCTGAGGGAACTGGGCTTGTTCAGCCTGGAGAAGAGAAGGCTGAGGGGAGACCTCATCACCACCTACAACTGCCTCAAGGGAGGTTGTGGAGAGGTGGGTGCTGGGCTCTTCTCCCAGGTGATGGGGGATAGAACAAGGGGAAACGGCACCAAGCTGTGCCAAGGGAGGTTCAGGTTAGAGATAAGGAGGAAGTTCTTTACTGAGAGGGTCGTCAGAAGCTGGCACAGGCTGCCCAGGGAGGTGGTGGAGTCACCATCCCTGGATGTGTTTAAAGAGCGGGTAGACGAGGTACTTAAGGATATGGTTTAGGGGGTAGACAGGAGCGGTTGGACGTGATGATCTCAGAGGGCTTTTCCAACCGAGCGATTCTGTGATTCTGTGTATTGAACACAGAGACAGCCCTGCTGTAAGGAGGAGGTATCCTACATGAGCTTTTATCCCCTTTTTTTAAATTGTTTTATTCTTTATTCCTATTGTATTTCCCATCCCTTTCGCCGTGGTGCACACAACAGAGCTGCCTCTGGGGCTTGGGTTTGTTTTCTCTCATTAGGAGTCCAATACACGTGATGGACCTTCAAGTTTGGCCTGGACCAGTGCAGTGAAAGTAGGGCTTTTCAGTTTTGGTTTTGGTTTCTGAGGACTCTGACTTAAGTTAATGACTAATTAAGTGTTTAATCATTAACAAGATGTCCCCAAACTATCCTAGCAGAGGCAGAGTTGTTCCTCAGTGCATCCAATTTTAATCTTTAAAAAAAATTTCCTCTTATCCTGCCCGGATATCCTCCAACGCCCTCTTCATGCTGATGAATTTGGATGAAGGGAGGAGATGCGCTCACCTTGCCAGCCATAAAAATCGATGAGAAACTGAGTGAAGGGCGCGATCAGAAACGTCAGCCCCATCCCGGAGCGGGCGATGGCGTTGGAGAAAGCCAAGCGTGTCCTGCAGCGCTTGGCCGTCATCACCGCTGCCGCCTGGTAAAGGCAGGCGAACCCCAACCCTGCAGGAAGGGAGAGAAATCGAGGTGTCCATACCCAAAAATGGACTGTTTTGTATCCTGAGCTTTAGGGGTTCAAGGTCAGGCCAGCCCGGGCTCATCCCTGCAGTAAAGCAGGGTCCTTCAGTAGGACCTGAAGGGTTCATGGTTCAGGGTTCAGCCCTGTGGGGTTCATGGGCTGAAAACAGGGGGGACTTTTGCTTTTGCAATGGAATAAGAGAGTAGAGAATAAGATTTCACATATGGTATTTAATATCTGGAGGGTTTGAGGCTGTGCATTTTTAGTAAGGGATTTCAAAAAGCTAGGATTTCTGTTTGGTCTGGGGGAAAAAAGCAGAGTTAGTTGGGTCTAGCATGTTGAAACTGGTATTTCATGCTCTGGGGCGGGAAGGTTTGGGGTTTCACACAACATCTCATAGAAGATAAGAGGATCCCCTAAAGCCAGGGATGCTTTGCTACGAGAGGAACCGCCTGGGTTAATGTTAAAGGAGCCGTTTTTCCCCATCGTGCCCAGGAAAACCGCGGCGAGTCTCACCCAGGAGCAGTCCCATGGAGCCGCAGAGGAAGGGGACGCTGGTGGCCCTGGTGCTCAGCAGGCAGCCCCCGCTGACCAAGCCGGCCCCGAGGATGGAGGTGGGCCGCTCGCCCAGCCTCCCGCAGACCACGGCCACCAGCGGGGCTGCAAGGGAAAAGAGGGAGACGTTTTAGAGGTTAGAGATAAGGAGGAAGTTCTTTCCTGAGAGGGTCGTCAGAAGCTGGACCAGGCTGCCCAGGGAGGTGGTGGAGTCACCATCCCTGGATGTGTTTAAAGAGCGGGTAGACGAGGTACTTAGGGATATGGTTTAGGGGGTAGACAGGAACGGTTGGATATGATGATCTCAGAGGGCTTTTCCAACCGAGAGACTCTGTGATTCTGTGTGTGTGTGTTTCGGGGTGAAGGTGCCAAGTGGTGCCTTGCAGGGCTCGGGGACTTGTGCTGGGGTTGTGGCATTGGGTGTCCCCCTGTGTTCCCTTGGGAGGGAGTGGGGACCATGAGAAATTTGGGATGGGTCGATATTTGACAGACATTGCCTTGTACTCAGGGGATGGGACAGGGGGAGGAATCGGAGGAAAATCGGAGAAGGAAATTCTCGGTGACAAACAATGATAGGACAAGGGGTAACGGACACAAACTGGAACACAGGAGGTTCCACTTCAATTGGAGAAGAAACTTCTCAGTGAGGGTGACAGAGCCCTGGCCCAGGCTGCCCAGAGAGGTTGTGGAGTCTCCTTCTCTGCAGACATTCAAAACCCGCCTGGACGCCTTCCTGTGTAACCTCATCTGGGTGTTCCTGCTCCGGCAGGGGGATTGGACTGGATGAGCTTTGGAGGTCCCTTCCAATCCCTAACGGTCTGGGATTCTGTGAATCGAAGCCCAAACTTCCCGATGTCCTTAACCTGCTCCCTAACGCCAGGAATTCCTCAGAGCTGGATCGCTCGGAGGCGATGATGTTGGTGTTAAGGGAGAAGCTTTGCTCTGGATGTTTATAATAAACCTAGAGATGATCTTTAGGGTCCCTTCCAACCCAAACCACGCTGTGATCCTATAAACCACAGTGTGACACACGCCATGCCCGTCCTTGGCCGCGCCGTCCCCGTCGGTGCGGTCTCACCTGCCAGGAAGCGCAGGGAGGACATGATGGAGCCGATCCAGCTGATCCGCTCCGAGGAGCCCCCCACGTCCTCCTGGAAAGCCACGAAGAAGATCCCAAAACTCTTCAGCATCCCCATCACCAGGACGTTGACCTGAATTGGGAGCAACCCGAGGTGAGATATTGGGCAGGAGGGGAAGCTTTTCCTTCTGCTTTTCTCATCTGGATCATTTGTCGTATTTGGGGAGAAACAACCTGGGACACGGTTACTGGTGTTGGGGAATGGCAGGGTGGACCCGCTGTGGTTTCATCTTAACAGATCCTCAAAAAAAGCCTGTGCAAATTTGCTTTTTCAAAGAAAAAACAAAACAACGCTCAAGCCTGCCTCTCATAGGGCTTTTTTCTTGCTCTGTAATCTATTTTTTAATGCTAAAAAATGGATCTGAGCCCTCTGAAAAGTGCTGAGCGGGGATGGACGTTAGTCAGAGCTGTTTCCCAGGCTTGTGGTGCTGTGGGGGCAAAGGACATTTTGTGTCCTTAGTTTTACCCCCCTCTCCTCGCCGGCAGCGGGGGTTAATGATCGGCAGCGCATTTCTTCACATGGAACGGGAATGGGAGAAGCTTTCCCTGTTTTCCTTGCTGGGGGATGATGTTGCCTTCACCCCTGATGGGAAGGTGGTATTAAAGGCCATGGGGGAGTGGAAAATCAGCGCCTTTAAGTGGTGTTGGGATGCTTGTTCCTCCCAGGAGGGAGTAACCGAGCATCTCTGCGCTGCCTGCACCCGGTGCCGCTCCTGAGGACCCATCCCAGGGTGGGATCTCACCCTTACCAGAGCTACGAGACCCCTTTGGGGTTTGACACCCCAGTACACGAGCAGGGAAAAGTCATCTCATCGCTGCAAGCTGCAGTTCGGGCCCAGGCTGCGCGTTGGGCACCTTGGTTTCCATCACGGGGATGTTTCCAGGTGGTGTCTCCCAGGGAAAGGTGTGAGATGGGCAATGGTGCTTGGTGTAGCAAAACACCTCTGATTTTTGCCCTGGGCTTAATGGGACCAGCCTGTCCTGTCCCCTCCTCAATGTGACTGAGACTCGAGACTTTCTGGGTGAGTTTGTCCTGTTCTTACCAGGAAGAAGTGGAGCACCACTCCCCATGCCCACCCTTCATCCACAGCCTTGGTGCCCGGGCTCTTCCCAGCTGCTGGAGCCCCCTGCTCTTCCTCCTTCCTTTCCCCTGCAAATGAGAATTTCAGGACACGTTAACACCTCACTCTGTTGCTGTTTTGGTTCATCTTTGAACCCTTTGGCTGCTTTGCTGTCCATGAGGTGGGCACCCATATTTTGCACGCAGTTTGCCAAAGCTTTTGAGGGTGGGCGAAGCTTTTTCCCCTCCCTTTTTGCCAACAGATGCTAAATTGCACATGACCACTGCCTGCAAACACTTGGATATCCCTCCTCTTTCCCACCAAATTGCTATAAACACTTAAGCTTTAAGGGATTTTAAGTGACAAGCACCTCACTGCAGCCTTAGAGCGCAGTTTGCTTGGTTTGTGTCAGAATTCAGGGGTCACCATGGGTCCGTGTCCATCTCTGAGCTCTCTGTGGATGCTCTCCCTTCCCTGCTCATTCCTGTCCATTCCCTTGCCCATCCTGCACCTCTGGCAGTGCCAGGATCCTAAACCAATCGTGGCTGATGAACCTGGAGCTTTTCCTTACCGCTGCGCTGCTCCATGCTGGAAAATCCTCCCCGACGCAGACGCTCGCAAAGAGGAATCCTCTCTTCATTTGCTCCGCAGGTTAAATCCCCTCTTCCTGACTTGGCAGCCCTGCTCCTTCACTCTCCTGCGGTGGGGTTGGCAGTGTCCGTCCTTCCCGACGAGCCCCGGAGTGGGACATGGAGCCCAGCGAGCGCTGGGGTTGCGTGGACGGAGCCCGTCCTCCTCCTCCTCCTCCTCCCTGGAGGCAGAGCCCGGCTTGTGGGGCCGAGGCCGGGAGTCCCTCCCCTTCAGGAAACCCGGGGCTTTCGGAGCAGAAATCCTGGCGGGAGGGAAGAGGAAGGGAAGCCACAGGGGGTACAGCTGCAGGGCCTCGCTGTTGAGCGGAGCAGTGGGTGGCAGGGGTGAACTGGAGCCAAACCTGCGGCTGCTGGAGGCTACAGGGGAGCACAGCCCGGTCCCTGTGTGTCCTGAGTGGCCCTTGGCCTGGGCAACTGCGTCATTTTGAGGGGACAGCCTGGAAAGCGTTGGGTTTTCCAGCTGAGATGCTGGGCAGCCGGAGCGGAGCAGCCTTGCTTGAGCAGAGCAGGAATTGAGTTGGCTCCGTGCCTCTATTGTAAATACGCACAAACTCCCGGGTAAACACGGCCCTCGTGCTTCCTGCCCCGTTTCGGTTGACCTCGTCACCCCAGTCGGCGTTCCTGAGGTCACATCAATTCCAGGATCGCCGATACCCATCTCTGCTCCCCTCCCTTGGCAGAGGAGGCGATGCTGTGTCTTACCAGAGGACGTGGCAGAGCCTATGGAGGAGCTTTCCCTATAGCAGGGCTTTAAATACGTGCATCGAGCTTTTATTTAAGTGGAATGGTTTTTGCAATGGGGATGGTTTAAGGGCTTGAAGGTGGGGGATCTGGTGCAGCATCCACGCTCGGAGCTGTGGGGAGGAAACGCTCTGGCTCAAGCTGCTCCCAGGGGAGAGGGGCAACAAGGACCCTCCAAAATCACCCCAGAGCTTGGCCACACCGAGTCCTGGCGCTGAGGCTGGGTCGTTATGCAGGATTAACGCTGATCTCTGCTCCTTTTACTCACTCACATACCCAGGAAGTGTTTGAGCATAGCAGCGTTCCTAGGGGAAAACCCTTCTGCAGGGTGTTTTTTATCCTGCACCGTTTCAAATGCTTTTGAATCTGTAAAAGGGAGAGAGGCCTGGATTTGTGAGGATGTCGTCAACATCCATGTGTGGTTCACACAGCGACCAGGCGGGCGCAGCCAGCACGTTTGGCTTTGAACTTCAATCCAAGGCACGGTAAGTGAGTAACTCCCCCCACAGAACCTTTAACTAGAGGAGGGTAAACATTTCCTAGGAGAAATTACTCAGAAAGTGTTTGTACCTCTTCCACTGGAGGAGACTCCGTGACTTCAGGTCTTTGTGCGTGGCTGCTTTTCTCTTGGGAAATGCTAATGAATCACAGAGTCATTCGGTTGCAAAAGATCTTTAAGATCATTGAGTCCAACCATAATGAAGAAGGGCTTGGGAGAAGTTCCCTCATCGGTTTTGGAAACAAGGCAAAGCAGTGAGCACTGTTTCCACAGCAAAAAGAAGCAAAGGCCTGTTTATGCAGGTTATTTATTGATTTCTCCAACAAATAAGGCCACACACACACCCCTCCCCACTGTAGTATCTGAGCGTTACACGAGCTTGGTGAGTGACCCACACTTCATCCTCAGCAGCACAAGTGCCAAAATGTGAGTTGGAGACCTCGATAGCTGCACAGGAGGTGTTGAGTGGAGGGGGAGAGCCCAGGTCAGCGCTACAAGCACATTCTGAGCTGGAGCAGCAGAGGAGAGCGGTTGTCCAGTGAGGAGGAGCTGGGCAGGAGGAGGGAGTGGAGCGCGGTGCGGGTTCCCAAGGGTCAGGATGCCAGCTTGTGCACTGCCACGGTGATGCTGTCGTGCTTCTGGATCATGATGTTCCTAGAACGAGAAAAGGGGAGTGAGAAGCCAGCTGAGACGAGGAGGAGCTGACAGGGTTGGGGAAGGGGGCAGGGGTGGTCGTTCAGTGGCCGCAGCAACCCCCAGCTCTGCGCTAGACCCACATCCCTAAGTGCCACATCCACGTTTTTGGACCCCTCCAGGGATGGTGACTCCACCACTGCCCTGGGCAGCCCCTTCCAGTGCCAGACAACCCTTTCAGTGAAGAAATTTTTCCTCACATCCAATTTAACCCTCCCCTGGCACAACTTAAGTTGCAGAAGCCACCACCCCCTGTGAGGTTCCCTACTGCTTTTACAGCTCCTGCTTCTTGAGTTCCCATTAATTTAATGAATCCACATATCAATGGCAGTGGCTACCTTCCCCCCAGGGCTTTGGTGATGGGGCTGCTTCTACATTTACTGGGGTAGCTGAAGATGAGGGGAGCTGCTCTGGGGATCTGACTCTGGAGAGGGTCCAGAAAAGGCCAAGAGAGGGGACAAGCGTCACCCCTGCGCAGGGCACTCACCCGCTGTCTGACTCCAGGCACACCACGGGCGTATCGGTCGGGTCGGAGGTGAGCTTGGCTGCCTGCTGGGCCAGGACGGAGATGACACCGGCGTGCTCATCGGAGAGGGTTCCTCGGCCTGTGGGAGAGGGGAGGCGCTGGCCAAAACCATGCGTGCCATGACAGTGGTGTTTCTGATGGTGGTGCTTTGTGTGAAGCTGCCTCTCTCATGAGCTGAGGCAGCTTCTTCCCTAATTGTGACCCTCAAACCACCAAAAAGCCCAAATTCAAGTGGCAGGAAGGGCGGGCTGTGGTTTTCTCCCGTGTGTCTGTGTGTGGAGCTGAGCACCACGGTGCTGGTGGGTGCCAGAGGGACCCTGGGGACCCCTGAAAGGGGTGGAGGGGAGGGAAGGCTGCAGTGGGGCAGGCCCTGGTGCCCCCAGAGTGCCCCAGCACACTAGTGCCCCCAAACCGGGAGGGCTCCCATAGGGCAGGGACCAGTGCCCCCTACCCTCCGGTGTCCTTTGAGGGATAGGGATGGGGCCGGTGCCCCCCAGACCAGGGTCACAGAAACAGCAGACCTCGGTCCCCGCCGCCCCCCGCGATGCTCGGTTACTCACAGCCCAGGTTGAGCCCCTGCGAGTCGGTGCAGAGGACGCCCATCACGGCCGGGCTCTTCATGCTGCGGGGGGAGACAGCGGCGGTCAGCGCCGGGGCGGCC